CAGCCCCTCAGCTTAGAACCCCCAAGGCCCGAAAGAAGCCCGCCACAGACCGAAGCGGGAACTCCCCCGACCCGAATGCCGAACCCCTGCTGTAACCCGAAACTCTGGAAAGGAAACCCGAACACTACTACTGTTGATGATATAAATCCTGCATTACCTTAAGGACCCTAAACTATGGGAATTATGGTATATTCCTTATTATTGGTAATGCAGGATTTTTATCATCAACCGTAGTAAAACCCTAAACGCTAAGCTGGGCCAGACCCCCAAAGACCCACAGTGTCCCGGCCATCGACTCAGCGGGAGGAGCAGAACAACATAATGTGTCAAAGGTTCTAGATTCTAGGCATGGACATCATCATCGGTTTAGGGTTTAGGGTTTAGGGTTCAATCAACACTGTCACCGGCTGACAACCGGCATCATCACAAAGGATTTAGGGGTAAGGGTTTAGGGTTTAGGGTCAATCATCATCATCATCATCATCATCATCATGGCAACCGTACTCACCGCGATTCTACTCTGCATCAACGCGAGGCGGACTGCAGAAGAAGACTGTGGAGACAGAGAGTATGGGAAGACATGTGGAGACTGATGCTTTTGAACGGGTGCTGCTGACCGTGCTAGCGTTGGTGACCATAGCGCTGATGCTGTGGAACTGTGGAGGATACGGGGGAGGAGGAGAAGAGCCGGAAAGGCGAGCAGACAACCATGGCTATGACTGGGCATGAAAAGAAGGAACAGAAATGAGGAAGAAGGTTTATTATGGTTCTTGGAACCTTAAAGGAACTCTTCTCTTTTTCTTAAGGCCCCTACAAAGAAGGACCTTGAATTCGAGGTTGGAGGGCTTCTGAGGGGCACGCCGTCAGGTTGTCGTCGCTGAACTCCCCTGATGCAGCTCTAAACGATGTCGCGTCACCTCGGGAGACTTGAAACCTTGAACCCGAAACCCCAAACCTAAACCCTGAGATAGAGGGCTTAGGGAGGGAGGGCTTAGGGAGACAGGAAATCCCTAAACCCTAAACCCCAACTAATCCCTAAACCCTGGAGGGCTTAGGGAGACTCGGTCCCCAAGGGAGTGCTCAGAGCTTCAAATCGGAAAGACCTCCCGTGCACTTTCGACTTGGGCTCAGAGTTGAGATCGCAAGCGGTGTAAGGGTTTGAGGTTAAGGGCTTTTGGGGGTTAGGGTTTAGGGTTTACGGGTTAGGGTTTAGCGTTTTTTTTTTGAACGCCTTTTTCCGTCCGCCCGCTAGGTTGTTGGGAATCCACATTGTGGAAGGCAGCCCCCTTAGGGTTTAGGGTTCAGGCGCTAGGGCCCAAGGCTTGGGGTTTCAGGGTGTCATGGATCCGCTTTTTCAGGGCTTTTGAAAGTTAAAACTAGGGATTCAAGGCTCAGAAGCGTGGGGTCTGGAGTTTGGGAGCTGTAGAGGAGTTTCGGGGCTTCAGTGCTTTCGGGAATCGAAACTCTAACGGCACCCCGAAACCATAAGGCCGGAGCCACAAAAAAACCCGAGTCAACAGTAAAAGTCCGTTTGAGAGTTCCCGAAAATAGCGGATCCAAACATAGTACCCTAAATAGTCGGCGAGTCGGATCCTTACTATAAGGAACCCAAAGTAAGGCACCCCTAATTGTCGGAAACTTCCATTTAGGGCTTAATTAGGTTCTCGAACAGCACGGTCCTGCACCCGCACAGAACTGACCCCGAAAACCTAAACCCTATTCCGAATCCTAAACCTTGAACCCGAAACCCCAAATACAGCCTCTGACACCAACAGACATGAGACGCCCTGCCAACACCCAACATCTACAAACCACAAAAAAACACCAAAAAACACAATTTGTCTTCTTCTTTTTCCTTTGTACAAAGATGCGGGATGCAAACCTCAGATGCTTAGGCCCTCCTTCCCTACACCCCCGAAGATCTGAAGCTTCTGCTGGAGGCCCTGTAACCCTCCAAACTGCTACAGTAACCCTATTATCGGGGCCTTAATAATCTTAATCACTAGGATAGGGTTAGGGGTACATTTTTCTATACCTATAGTAAGGAATTCGGCTTAATAATCTTAACAAATAAGGATAGGGTTAGGGGTACATTATACTATACCCGTAGTAAGGAGCGCCCCAAAAGAGCAGTGGTAATTATTTAGGCCCCTTTATTAAAACCATTGCAACCCTTGGGCCCCGGAACCCTCAAACCCAAACGGGAGCTTCAGAAAATTAGGGGTACCTTTAAAAGGGATCCTTAAAGGGTTCTGTATAGGGATCCATGAGGGTTCTATAGAGGGTTTTAGGGTTTAGAGTTTCCGAAAATTAGGGGTACCATCTTTTGGGGTCCTTATAATAAGGATCCTACTATTTAGGGTACCATGTTAGGGTCACCTATTTTCGGAAACTCCCAAATTGATGTCCACGACACCTCGGAGGCGTCGGGGCGCCGCGTCGCCTGCGCAGGCGCCGGGGAGATCCAGGGCACACCTGCGGCTGCAATGGCGCTTCTTCCGGTTCTCTAAACCCTAAACCCTAAACCCTAAACCCTAAGCCGCGAACGAGAAGGAACCCTCGGCCCGAGGCGCAAAGCTAAGAGCGCGCCGATCTTGGAAGCCCGGATGCCCAGCGGCCCTTAGACGGGAGTTCCACAGGCTCCATAAGGGTTCGAAAGGGGTCCCAGAGGCTCTACACAACTCTCTATGAAGTTGCGTCGCTCTCATGCGCTGAGGGTGACGACCATCCAGAGTATCAGTATGATCACAGACCATTCACCTTCACCTCTTTTCGTCATCAATGTTGCTATAGAAAACTCCAATGTCATGTTTGCCGTAGTCGTTGCTTGTCGCTCTGTATCCCGTCTTGATGACGGTCTAGATCATCTGCACAGCCCAATGAAGATGTGCTGTCGGCATAGTTGTCGAGGTTCATTTCCATTTACTACTCTCCTTGCTCTCGTGAATTCAATACGCTCACTGTTCTGATGGGCGGGTTTCCTGAACTGCCGCGCGATTGATGCTATTATCACATTGTTCTCGATGTTGTCAAGGCTATAGCTGCTCATGTTTCTCATGATTCTGATAGTTCTTGCTGAAAAGGGTGCCACTTGTCATCCTTCTGGCCACTCTTACACACATGACTTGGCGCGTGCGCAGCATTGCCATTTGCATGGGTTTGAGGTGTTATAGGGGCCTTGATAGTTAGAATAGCATTCCGGCTAACTTTAAAACGGAACCCTGAGGAAGAATATTGGTAATTATTTAGGCCCCTATATTTGGTGCAGAGTGGACCTCGGTACGTTGGGTGTGCAGGGTTTGTGGCTTCAGGCTCGGGTTGTTGCAAGGATGGAACCTAAGAGAAACTGCCAATGGAATGGAACCTAAAGCAGCCCGGGTTTTAGAGTTTAGGGTTTTAGGGTTTCGGGTTTAGTTATAGAGCTTTAGGGTTTTAGGGTTTAGGGTTTATTGTGTTGATATTGCTGCGTAAACAGGGGTGTTCTTGCTCGTGCTGCTGCTTTTCTTCACGACTACTCCGAAGGAGAACGCCTGAGCGCAAAGAGAGCAGTAAAGCTACGCCGAAAGTGGTAACTTGAAAGCAACGAATGGTACCCTCCCCTCTAACATGAAATCCCTCTCCTGCACAAGCGCGAAGATTGATCCCCCAGTTGTCACTCGCCTGTAGTAGCTTTGTCTGTGCTCCAAGCCACGTTGACAGAAGCGCCCCGTCGTCATGATGCGCACCAGGGAAACGGCCGATGTGCAAGAAGAAGACCACTTGAGCGAGGTTTTTGGTTGGGATGCAGAGTTTGAAGTTCAATCAAAATCGCTAGTGTGTTGACTTCCACATCATACTTCACTTGTACAAGAGCTGTGGCATGCATAAGCTACACAGGCTTCTTGCTCAACTACGTGTTTCATGTCTGAGTCGTTGTTTATCGTGCACTGGTCTGCTGGCGGCCGGCAGCACTCCACTGCTTTGGAAGTTTCAGAGCACCTGGCTTCAAGGCTCAGAGGGCATTTAAGGCTTGTGGGGCCTTACATGTAGTTGGGATCTCAAGCATGTGCCATCACAACGGTTTCTTTGCAGACCACGCTCCAGGAAGCAGTGCATTCTGCACAGCTCAGTCGAGTCTGCGGCCCGTACGCGAGGCCTTCGAGTGCGACAGCAAAACCTACTTTGAACATCCCTCCGGGATGCATGAGCCATGCTGTCCCACCGAATTCTCCCAGACGGCGCCGTCGTCGAAGGCTTCGAATTTTCCGGGCCCCCGATACTGCCGCGGCGCGCGTTGATGAGTTTAGTTTCTCGCGGCGGGCATGTTCCCGAACCGCGTTGCCAAAGTTTAGCTTGATGCCCGCACCGGGCGACCTTTGCTTCTTGCACATCACTTCGTCGCCCTGCAACCCTCGCAGAACTCCTCCCTTGGAAACCACTCCGGCCTGGAAGGCTGAAGCCAAGACCCCCAGAGACTCCAATACCCCTTAATTAGGGAATATTCCTTAAATCATATTAAGGATCCTACTATAATTTAAGGTATGTTCCTTAATTAAGGGATATTGGAGTCTCTGGGCCCTCTGTAATCGTTCTTTTTTGGTGAACTCGTGAAGGCTGCAGCCCAAAGGTTCAAGGACCGTGCAGAAGAACCTGGAGTCGTGAAGGAAGGAAGTGTGCATCCAGCAGCAACGAAATTGCCCCAACGGGTCAGCTGCACACATAGTCGACAACCTCCTCTTGAGCGGCCTCTCTAAACTGCTTGACATCGCGAATGATCTGGATCACGACCTGGCGCTTTTTTTGTAGGCAGACTCGGCCGAATGCCCCTTCGCCAGCTTTAGAGTGGGCGTCTCTTTGCTTGGCAGGTGCGCAGGTCACCAACGGTTTGGGGTTTAGGGTTTAGGGTTTAGGATTTAGGGTTTAGGGTTTAGGGTTTGTTTAGGGTTTAGGGTTTAGGCAGTTCCGCATTCCCCGCCGATCCTCTGGCATCGACATCGCTCGGGGCGGTCGTGGGTAGATTCTCAAGGGCCACGCAACTTCCTCGCGATCTGGGCAGCGATCCAGTTCTCAGATTCCCCCCGGCACTCCACATAAATCCTGGGCTGTAGCTTTGGGGCTCCGGAAACCTCTATAGGAACCATAAAGGGAAAGAAAAAAACTATCCCAACTTGCCGCCTAGTATCTTGCTGGATGGAATTGTTGCGGCGAGGAGGGCATCGGCCATGCCGTCCTCTATACTGAACTTAGAACCCTAGCAAAAATTATAATTTTAGCTGTTTCTTAGGGATGATAATAAACAAAAATTAAAAATCATTTCTAAGTACCCCTAAGTCCTTGTCGTAGGGGTGATCTGGGCCGAAGGTGGCCCTTGGGGGCCAGTCGTCACGAAGCCTCAGGGGGAAAATCTCGATATCCCGGGACCAGGCGAACTGGAGCTCCTCATGTGAGGAGCGGTTCACCCGATTCGTGCTCGCATGCAAGAACTCGTTGACGGTCATTCCTCCGATAGGTTTGCTCGGTTTCTCTGGGGCCTCCATTTCGCCATAATCGTCCGAGCACACGGCGAGCAGCACGCCCTTGCTCTGAACGAGTCGATTCAGGTGGGGCAGCGTCATGGCTGCTGCCTCTGGCAGTAGCACCGGGTAGTTCCGCTCCTTTAGCAGCCGGTGTACTCGACGGAATTTCATCACCGTCTCTGCATCATTGAATCTCATAGAGAACACCGCCATGCGGGCGCTCGTGCCGTCTGGTATGTCCTCCTGCTGCCGAACCACCAACACACTCAGTTGTCTAGGGAAGGGTTGATGGGCTGATCGGTTTGGAATCTTCGGATACTTCTGCGTGATCCCGATTGCAGGTGCACTTCGGCACGAGAACTGTGCTGAGTTCCTGCTAGATAGAAGTCCACTGCAATACCCCTGCCAGACTAGCCTCAACATGAAACAATTAGGCTTTCGGGTTTGGGGTTTAGGGTTTGGGTCAACTGAAGCTTTTGACTTCCACGGCAGAGGAATTCTTGTTTCACTTGTTTCGTCTTGCTGCGAATCTGAGAAGTACATATTGCTATCGGTACGACAGTGCATCTATTGAACTCCGACAATGAATGCCAAACAGAGGAACCCTGGCTGCTCTCAGGCGTACAAGGGCCTCCTTCATCGCCTTCAGCGTCTCCAAAGGCCCAAATCTGGCTGCCACACTGGCCGGAGTCCTTCCTTCCGTGTCTCTCGCCTGAAACCCAGAGATCCCCCAATACCCCTTAATTAAGGAATATACCTTAAATCATAAGGTTAACTAACCATTGGTTTTGGGGTTCCCTTGGCTCTTTAGCTCCTATTTTAATAGGAATTATCATGATCCCTGGCTCCTTAGCTCCCCCAATATCAATGGTTAGTTAAGGCCTCTGTCAATTAAGGAATATACCTTAAATCATAATATTAAGGCCTCTTAATTAAGGAATATACCTTAAATCATAATCTTAAGGCCTCTGTCAATTAAGGAATATACTTTAAATCATAATATTAAGGCCTCTGTCAATTAAGGAATATACCTTAAATCATAATATTAAGGCCTCTTAATTAAGGAATATACCTTAAATCATAATCTTAAGGCCTCTGTCAATTAAGGAATATACTTTAAATCATAATATTAAGGCCTCTGTCAATTAAGGAATATACCTTAAATCATAATATTAAGGCCTCTTAATTAAGGAATATACCTTAAATCATAATCTTAAGGCCTCTGTCAATTAAGGTATTTTCCTTAATTATGGGAAGTTCACCTTCGCCTCACGAGTCCGCAGGGGGCTCTTGAACTGGGCTTTAGGGTTTTAGGGGTTTGGGGCTTCGGGGGTTTCAGGGTTTAGGGGTTTAGGGCTTTGGGTTTTAGGGTTTCGCATAAGACTCCAAAAGGGCCTCGTCCACCAGGAATTGGATCACTTCTGGGGGATATTTTGCAAAACAAAATGCAATGCATCACAAATACTTCACATTCTCCAAGTTATTTGATAGAAATAATGCCCTGGAAGACACTTGAACACCACAGCATTTGTTTTTTCAACCGTGTCGATGAAGTCGTCCACGTTTGTGGACACGCGGTTTTTGCAAACACAACTGCGGGGAGAGCCGGATGCGGTTGAGCTACTTTGGACATGTGTGACCGCCTCAAGACCAATTCGAGTTGAAGGTTCAGGGTCGGCGGCGGCTGCCGAAATCAGGGGAGACAATAAAAAATGGAGAGAGGGAGAGCACAGAGACAGAGACAGAGAGAGTGTCCGTGGGTATCTAAGAGTACGCAGGTCCACCTCATCCGTGGAGAGAAACGGGTTGAAGAGCAAGCTCGTCGGCTTTGACATTGTGTTGCCACTGGTATCCCAGACCTAGGTTGCCATGGCGGCTTTCTGACTAGACATCACAACAGCACAGACAGTGCAGACGTGAAATCTCAGTGCAGCCTGCCAATAACTCACCATGACAGTTCCTGTTGTTGACCGGGTCCCTGTTAGGGAGCTAGTTGTCGACAGTCCTTCTCCAGTGAACCTGACCTGTTCCAAAAAATGCTCTCGTTCGCTGCTGAGTGCAACCCAAAAGCTGTCGAGGTCTCGTGCATGGGCCACTGTGCACCGTCGTCCGGCTGAGCGCTCTTGACGAAATCTGTGTCATCGCCACTTGTTTGGGATGCACCTGGGAGTTTCCGAAAATGAGGGGTACCTTACTTTGGGGTCGTTGTCTTACGGATCCTACTAGTTTAGGGGACCATAGTAGGGTCCCCTATTTTTGGCAACTCCCACCTGCGACTGCACCGGTGCCTGCGGGGGCACCACGGGTCTCTGCACGACCCCTGCAGATCTCCAAAGCTTCTTCATGCACTCGGGCCGCGGCCTTTTGGATGTTCTGGACTGACTCCTTCTCTGCCGATGCTTCATCAGAGGATTCGGAGAATGTCACCATGCCCAGAAATTCTAGCCAACCTTCCGGCACCCTTTCATTGACCACGATAGCCAAGAGTTGCGCCCGCGTTAAACCTCTATACAGCCGTGAGCGTGTCTGTAAGTCTCCCATTTGGCGCTGAATAGGAGCATCCAGCCCAACACAAACGACCACAAGCTGCTCCAAGCCATCTGCATTGTCCACGGTGTCGAGAACAATATTCTCCTGCTTTGCCTGCACTGAAGCCGAACCCCGCAACTCAAAGCCTAGGGACTCTCCAACTACTTCTAAAGCCTCATCGCCAAAGTATGCCAAACCTGGACCCTACGGAACCTACCTTTTTAGGGCCCCCCTAATATGATTTCTTTATATAAGTCCCCAAAAAGGTAGGTCACGTGGGGTTAAGGAAGTCTTGACCGATACCATGAACCCCGAAGCCGGCACCTGAAGCCAAAAGTCCACTCGGCAACTGCTCCCGAAGCCTGAAAATGAAAAGTCCAAACCCCCAAAGCCTAATGAACCCCCAAACCACATCACTGAACCGCTTGGGCTTTAGGGTTTAGGGTCCTCATAAAACCCCAAACCAGATCACTGAACCACTGAGGGTTTAGGTTTAGGGTTTAGGCTACTCATGGGTGGTTGTCAAAATTATGGTCCCTTTTTGGGTCCCTAGTACAATACGGCACCCATTATTTAGGGTACCCCAACAGGGACCCTAATTTTGACAACCACCCACATCACTGAACCACTTAGGGTTTAGGGTTTAGGTTTAGGGTTTGGGGGGTTTAGGGTTTAGGGTCTAGGGTTTAGGGGTTGAGGGGTCTAGGGTTTAGGGTTTAGGGTAGGGTACTCATGAACATTCGACTCCCTCTGCTATTCAAGCGCTGCCTGCTTGCTTCGGCCGAGCAGACGCTCCGGCAAGCCTGGGCTGTTGTCTGCCCAGAGACTCCAATATCCCTTAATTAAGGAATATACCTTAAATCATATAAGGGATCCTACCATAATTTAAGGTATATTCCTTAATTCAAGGATATTGGGTTCTTGTCTAGGGATTGTACTTAAGTAACCCCTTAGACCCGATTACAGCCCACATAGAGCCCAGTGAACCCTAAACCCTAAAGCACCATATACCCTAAACCCTAAACCCTAAAGCACCATATACCTAAAGCATTATACCCTAAATAAACCCTAAGGCCAGATACCCTAAACCCTGAATGAGGGGCTCCTTCAGTGAGGGAGGGTCAGAGTCTTCTGGGCTCTTGTTAAGGGATTTACTTTAAGCTACCGTAATTAGGAAACCCTAGTATTTACCGTGGATCCATATTATAGTAACTTAAACTGAGTTCCTTAACCCCTAAACCCTTACAGACCCCTTGAAGGAACCCTTACAGACCCTTCCTTCAAGGAACCCCTGTTGTGGCAACTTAATTTAAACTTAATTCCTGAACCCTTAAAGGAACCCCATAGATCCCTTAAAGGAACCCTTGTTGCGGTGACTTAAATTAAATTCCCTACGGTAGCAAGAACCCTTATAGAAACCTTAAACGAAACCTAAACTATGGTAACTTAAATTTAGTCTCCTTAACAAGAACTCTTATAAAAACCCTTGAACCCTAAATTATGGTAACTTAAACTTAAATTCCTCAACAAGAACCCTGAAAAGAGCCCTAAACTACGGTAACTTCAACTTGAATTCCTCAACAAGAACCCAGAAGCAGCAAAGTGAATCCTCGAAGGTCACGAGGCGCAGCGAGCGATGCGGGAACTCGCGGCTCCTCTTGAGCGGCTTCGGAGGAGTGGGGTTTAGGGTGTTTTGGTTTTTTTAGGGTTTGGGGCTTAGGTTTTAGGGTTCAGGGTTTAGGGTTTAGCGGTTTAGGGTTTAGGGTTTAGGGTTTGGGGTTTCGGTCTACGGTTTGGGGTCTCGGTTAAGGGTTTGGCGTTGGGTTTAGGGTTTCCGATGGGTGCGATCGAAGCGCCTTGACTTTGTTCAGCGGTTCGGGCGGGGTAGGGTTTTGTGAGTGGGTGGTTGTTAGACGTATGGTCCCTTTTTGGGTACCTTTTATATTACGGCACCCGGCACCTAATATTTATGGTACCCTAAAAGGGATTTTGACAACCACCCAAGTGGCTGTGTGTATGCAGCAGTGCTGGGCTGCGGCATGTGATCATAAGCATTGCAGTCGGTCTGGTTTCGCAGCTTAGGGCCAATGCCAATGGTGTATTCGTATGTTACAGAGATACTCAAACCCTAAACCCTTAAACCCTAAAACCTAAACCCTGAACCCATGCAACTTCACCAACCCCTCACCCACACGCTCAGGAATCTCAGACGATGCTTATCGCAGGCCAGGTGCAGATGCTTCTGCAAGACCTGCTTGATGTTCTTGCAGCTATCGGAGTCAGGAACGAGGAGGGCGACACGCCCATGCAAGCTGATTTCAGGGAATGTCCTGGGGACCCAGAGACTCCAATATCCCTTAATTAAGGAATATACCTTAAAGCATATTTGGGATCCTAGTATAAATTGAAAGTATATTCCTTAATTAAGGGATTATGAGACGGTATCAGGGAATGTCCTGGGGGAGCAGGGCCCAACAAGAAGCGCAAGGGAGTTTCTAGCGAAGGCCATGAGTTATTGCTCGAAGCACAGCAGGGAGTTTAGGGCTTAGGTCTTGTTTTAAGCTGAGTATGGTTCAGGGTTTGGGGTTTAGGGTAGTTTAGGGTTTGGGGTTCAGGGTAGTTTAGGGTAGTTTAGGGTTTGGGGTTTAGGGTAGGGTTTAGGATTGGAAAGCCGAGTGTCTTTGCCACATGCCAGAGTGCTTTGATGATATGCTCTGCATACGCCTTGGGCAGGTCCTCTCCCACCTCGCTGGCCGCATCGAAACCCGAAAACCCTGCACCACCGGTTTCATGACTGAGCTTCTACTTGAAGCAATACGATAACAATACGAGAATACTATAATGGTACTACAGTATGAGACTATAAAATTACCAGAGTGATTATATAATTATATAATGCTATACTACGACAATATACTATATATTTTTCTTTTTGACTTTGACACGTTGAGAACCCAAGCACAGAGTAGCCGAGCTGCCGGGTCGAAGAGGAAGGTCTTCAGGGGCGGTCCGGCAGAGCCCAAAGACCTCACAGCGTCTTCCCGCTGTGCGTTCAGCTGAAACCTCGGATGCAGGGCTTTGGGCTTAGGGGCTTAGGGGCTTAGGGGTTTGGGGGTTTAGGGGCTCAGGGGCTTTGGGCTTGCCGGGCTTAGGGGGTTAGGGGTTTAGGGGTTCAGCTGAAACCTTGGGTGCTGAAACTCATAGTATAGAGGCCTTAATAGTTAGAACGGGGTCTGTAAGGATTGCTAGAAGGGGTACGATCAGGACATGATGTACACAACAACAGGAGCTGCCTGATTTTGATTTCTAGGCTGTTACGTTGCAACAGACCCCCCGCCCCGAAAAAACAAATTGCAGGCAGGAAGCGTAGCTGCACCTGTGACTATGCGCTTAGTACTGCGGACCACCTCGGAAAGTCTCACCCTTGCCATGTCGGGATAGGTCCTTGGCTACAAAAAGCAATTTCAGGCATTGGGCTGCCCTTCCTGCGACAAGTCATGGCCCCTAGCTACTATTTGCTTAAGAACCCCCCAAAAAATAAAAAATGCTAATCCCTATATTATCCCTATAAGGAATATATTTTTTATTTTTTGGGGGTTCTTAAGCAAATAGTAGCTAGGATTGTGGCATGAATGGCCGACATCTCAGCACTTTTCAAGCACGTCCAAGACGACTTAAGGTTTAGGTCTTCGCCCCTGCTCGGAACCTCAATCAAAGGCTGGCGTTGGTTGCTTTTTGCAAACAAGGATTTTGGAGTCTGGGCTTTCGGGTCTGGGGGTATAGGGTATGGGGCATAAGGTATAGGGTTGAGGGCTTAAGGTTTTGAGTTGAGGGCTTAGGTTTTTTTGTTTGGGGGGGGCTTAGGGCTCCTGACGCTGTCCCAAGGTCTGGCTCACCGAAGAGGACTGCGACTCATCTGACAGGAGCAGTCGGCGCTCTGCCGATAGGCTTGGGAGCAGCGTCGAGCCGAGTTCCTAAGTGTGGCCCGCATTCCCGATGGCATTTCATGGGTTGACCGTCACAATCTTGCAAATGAGAGTTTTAGGGGTGCCTGATTAAGGGGGGTCCTTATTAGAGGGATCCTACTATTTAGGATACTATATTAGGGTCCCCTATTTTGGGAAACTCCCAAATAAGCAAGAGAGTACTTCTGCGGGCAGCCTAGCGACTTCAGGCGGAAGAGAGAAGATGTGATGGCTTTCATCGTAGACCACCATGTCACACTTTTCTGCGTCGGGTTCGGCCACACGTCGGAGTATGCGATCACCGTCCAGGGAAGGCCGCTGAAACTGCTTAAACGGGCTGTGCAACAGAGTGATTCTGGAGAGCACCTGCTGGATCCTGCTTTGCACGAGCCCCGGCTCGCTGTGAGGCTTTCCTAGGCTCTCTTGGAGTCTGGGAGAAATGCGCAACAAAACCTTGCGCACTGAGGAACGGTCACTTGTTTGTTCGCCGAGGTTCGCGATGCAAGTCGCATGGAGAGCCAGCGAATAAAGTGAAGGCCAAGATTTCCGGAGGGAGCGACGTAGAGCAGACGGGCCGAGGGATGGGTGTTGAGATGCTCGAGCACATGCTGCACCGCGACGAAGGTCTTTCCCGCACCCGCTGGGGCAGAGAGATGAACGTCGCCGAGGCCCTCCATCTCTTTCAGCTTCACCTGGATCGCACATCACAATGGTCTGCAAACAGACTGCCGACGGCTTCTCTTTTAGAGTCACGGAATGGAGATTCAACCCCTATGCAGTCCCCTGTTTCGGTAAACCCCCTTCAGGGCATGACTCCCGGAAGATGGAAGTGGATCCCTATAAGGATCGCCGGGTTCAGGGTTTAGGAAGTTTACGGGTCTTTAGTAAAGGAAGGGCTTTACTGATCAGGAGTCTACACTACCCGAGCGCTCCCGTCAGCCACCTGCTGATGATCGGTCAACTCCTTCAGCCCCAGGAGGCTATCCTGGGTTCTTGCTAAGGGATGTAACTTAAGTCACCATAATAAGGAAACCGTATCATTTGCTGTAGACCCCTATTATGGCAACTAGTAGCTATTATTTACTATAGATCCCTGTAGTATGGTAACTTAGATTAAACTCCTTAACAAGAGCCCAGTATCCTCGTAGAGCTCGAAGAGACGGCTCTTGTCGAACTTCACCTTGAACTCCTGAGCTCTGTCACTGGATGTCTATTTTGCAGGTATCTCTCCTTGATTACTAAGTGGTGCTCTCGGGTGCCAGGTATAAATTCTAGGTACCTGAGAAACCATGGCAGAACCCAACGACACAAGAAAGGAAAATGGATCCGTATGAGCCAGAGGTTCCGGAGCCGCGCGCGCCAGGCCTTCGTTGACGCTCCGATCGAAGTCGCCGCTCAAGACGCGATCTCTCAGCGCGAGGAGCACCTCGACGTTGGGAATCTGAATGCCGATGCTCAGCGCCGGGCTGCCGCTGCGGAGGCGGCAGGCGGTGGGAGGGCGCAGTTCCACGTCGGCCAGGCATCGGCGCAAGGCGGGCTCCAGGATGTCCCCTTACCCAAAGAGTCGAATACCCCTTAATTAAGGTATTTCCTTAAACCAGATAAGGGATCCTACTATAGTTACCACACAACACAAGACAACACAAGACACAACACAACAACACACAACAACACACAACAACACGCAACAACACAACACAACACAACACAGCACAGCACAGCACAACACAACACAACACACAACACAACACAAGAAAACACAAGACAAGACAACACAACACAAAACAACACACAACAACACAACAAAACACGAACAAGACAACACAACACAACAACACGCAACAACGCAACACAACACAACACAACACAACACAACACAGCACAGCACAACACAACACAACACAACACACAACACAAGAAAACACAAGACAAGACAACACAACACAAAACAACACACAACAACACAACAAAACACGAACAAGACAACACAACACAGCACAACACAACACAACAACACACAACACAAGACAACACAACACACAACACAAGACAACACACAACAACACACAACAACACAACCACAACACAACACACACACAACACAACACAACACAACACAACACAACACAGCACAGCACAGCACAGCCCAACCCAACCCAACCCACCCCACCACACCACACCACACCACAACGCAACACAACACAACCCAACCCAACCCAACCCAACCCAACCCAACCCAACACAACACAACACAACACAACACAACACAACACAACACAACACACCACACAAGGCACAACACAACACAACAACACCCAACACAACACACAACACAACACAACACAACACAAGACAAGACAAGACAAGACAACACAAGACAACACCACACAACACCACACAACACAACACAACACAACACAACAGCAACAGCCTAAACCCTATACCGCCTAAACCCTGAACCACAACGACAACAAGAACAAGAACAAAGGGCCATGATGCCCGCCACCAGGTCCGCACTGCTTAACAGTGTGGAATTAGTGGGGAGGGGGGGATGGGGGGGTGAAAAAGGGGGTGGAAAATCGCTGTATTGAGGGCCAAGAACGGCCAGTGGTAGTGGTGGTGGTGGGGATGCAGGTGGTGTGGGTGGTGTTGCGGGGGTGGAAAAGCTTGCAGCCGTAGCAGGTGGTGTGGGGGGTGGTGCGGGGGCGGAAGGGCTTGCAGGGGTGTTGGCAATTAAAAAATCATTCCAATTCTGCGGAAAAACGAAAATTGTTTCGGACGAAAAAGCACATTCGCTATTACAGCCGCTGTACATTTCGCTTAAAAAAACTGTGAAGCGACCTATCGCTCGCGGAAAACTGGGTGGCGGTGAAGGTGGGGGGATGAGGTTGAGGAGGTGTTGGGCGGCCAAGAGCTGGTGTTGTGCTCTTGGCCCTAATTCTTCTGGTGCATGGCCGGCTTTCACGTGCCTATCAGGGGATGTTAGAGCTAAGCTTACAAGATTTGGGTTTTGTATACCAAAAAAAGTGAAAGTTTGAACCCCCTACCTCTCCAAGCCCCAGTTCGACGGGCGAGGGACACCCGCATTGACCCCGGTGCCCTTAGTAAAATTCTAAAAGTTTCTATAATGTCTAGAAAAATACTCTTACGTTCTTTAAAACCGTAAAAGAAAACGAGCCAAGTAGCCTCGCCCTGTACCCGGTCGAAGTAAAGCCTCGGGCCGGGTACTCGTTGTGCTCGTGGTGCAGGCTGTCGTGGTTGTCGTGGCGGGGATCGTGGTGCTCCTGGTGACCTTGGGGGTGACGTGGTGGGCAGTGGCGGTGGTGGTCGTGGTGCTCGTGTTGCAGGGGTGGACGGGGTGGTGGAGGGGGTGTGCCGTTTGGCTGGGGGGGTGGGGGACATCATACCGATCACCATGGTAGATACACGTTGCCTCCTCTGCATCAGCGCCCGTTGTTGGACACTCCTCGCTATTGACAAGATCATCAGCCCATATATCCCATGCTTGAACTTCCCGTTCCATGTCATAGTCTGCTATTGTGCAGCCTTCATCGGCGCTCTCGAAAAGGTTATTGTAGAACCATTCTTCAACGCCCTTCACGAGTATGACCTTCAAGTCATTGGGTGCGGTGAAGAAGCCTCTTGAGAAAACAATGTTCATCACCTCGCTCTGCTTTTGAAGAACGAGAAGCGAACCAACTTCGGGCGCCAACCATTCATAGGCTCGGTCGTATTCTTCATTCTATGATGAAAACGAATGAGGTAATCTGTCCCCAGAACCATCTTGAATAAAACGAATGAGGTGGTGTGATAGATGAAACAAGTGAGGGACGAATGTGGTAAATGACCGCAGAGATTTTGGAAATTTATAACGAACAAGGCGATGAAGTGATGATTAAGATGTTATGCTGCTGTGAAATGATGTATCAGCATAGGCGGACAATGTATATAATGTGCCAGTCCTCAGAGGGGGTGATGTGCCGCTTGGGCGGGCGGCCCGGGCGGCCAGACATTCCTTGGAAGCCAGGAGCGGAGCTTGCTTCAGGCCATCTCAGACTGCATTGCTCCGCCGGGCTTCCTACAAGTTGTTTGGACAAAAAATGGCAACGACGGACATGTACTGAGTCAAGCAAAAAAAACACTCACTCAAGTCAAGCATGCCGGACATGTCCTAAGCCTCCTGCCAAAAAAACGCAAAAAGCCCTCTGGTGACAAGTAGGACGCACTCCGGGGGGGTGTTTCAAATCACTTAAACCTCGCTTGGAGAGAAGTGCTAAAGGTGTAGTCGCCGCACCGCCACCGCACCGCCACTCGCACCGGCGGACCGTTAGTCGCCGCACCGCCATTCCGTTAGTCGCCGCACCGCCATTCCGTTAGTCGCCGCACCGCCATTCTGTGCACGCCCCAAAGAGCGGTTGAGGTCGGTGCAAGTGAGGTGAACTTGGGGAAAGTGAATTGAAAGTAGCCTCTGGGTGGCGTGAAGGCAGGCTGGACCCTGCTGTCCCTCTCATGAATCTGCTCTAGGAGATGTCTTCAGTGGGTTCAGGGTTTGGGGACTTTAGGGTTCAGGGTCTCGGGGTTTAACACTTTAGGGTTAAGAGCTACACGGCTTATCCCTAAATCCTAAACCCTAAACTATAGGGTTTATAGAGTTTAGGGAAGAAAGAACGAGCAATCGATCCGGAGCGGTCTCGAAGTATGGCATACGCCCTCTGAGCACAGCTAGCAGACCTAGCATTCCCTAAACCCTATAAACCCTAATAAAGCTTAGAAGCCCTACAAACCCTATAAACCCCATAAACCATGTAAACCCTATAAACCTAATAAACCCTATAAACCCTATCAACCCTAAACCCCATCATCTTAGGCCGCCACCCCAGCGCTGCAAGAGCTGCTCAACCGCCACGTTGAGGTGTCGGACTTGGGCGGCCTGAAAGATTTCCTTCGTGGCTTTTGGAACTTGTTCGCTATGATATAGAGCCCTAATGATTAGAAAAGGGTTCCTGTTAAACCGGTCTATAGTCTATAAGGATTACTATAGGGGATCTACAAGGGTACTATAATGTAGGGGCCTTGTAATTAGAATAGGGTTTCGGGCCCAATAATACTATGTTGGAACAAGGAACCCCCAAAATAGTATGGGTAGTTATTTAGGCCCCTATAGTCTTCTAGTCGAGCGGCAAACCCTAAATCCTAAAAGCAGAACTCGCTTCAAAAGCCTCCGAGTATCTCCAGCGTCATCGTCACACTTGATCTGCCAGACAAACTCCGTGGACTCATCGCCGGACTCGGTTGCAGTCACTTTTTCCGTCTGCTTTACGACGATGCCCTTGCGCCATCTGGAGTCAGCTTCGGTCTCATGCAGAGCATCCACTTGCGCACCCGGGGGAAACTCATTCTTGAGAAAAGCCGTAACATCCACCTCCTCATAGTCCCATCCGGGACTTTGCTTCTGCATGAGCTTCGCCGTTGCCAGCTCGGATTTCTGCGAGCCACCACATCCGACCTCGGCTGTTCAGGCGGGGTGGCGAAGCCAGAGGACAGTGCTCTGCAAAGGGTCCCGTGCAGATCAAGATGGTGTAAGAATGGGGGGGGAAATATATTATACTATAATCATCGTAATAAGGAACCTCCAAACTAGGATTGGTAATTATTGAGGCCCCTTTAATACAGCTTCTTACTTTGAGAAGATGCTGGTGCACTGGGGTCCTACTTCACCCCTGGTAGTGGCAAGATTCCTTCGGCCTGCATGTTACAGCAAGCACAGCCCGCGGTTCCAAATCCTGCACCTCTGCAAACCTCCCAAAGCCCCTATGGACTTAAAACTATATCCCCAACCACGAATCCAAAGGCCTTATAGCGCCGAATTCCGAATACGAAACCTAGACTCAACCGAAACATTAAGTTGGAGCTGTGTCTCCCCGTCCCAGAGGTCAACCTCACAGTCAGAGAGGTCCTCCATGCTGGGAATCCCGGAACCCACCTGGCTCGGATGATTGGCAGGAGAGGCTCAAATTCGCCTGTCGGCGAACACAGTGCGAACACGGTCGAAAAGCACACGAAAAGGCAAAATGTCGCTGCAGAGGACTGCCCACTAAATCTATCTATCTAGCTAGATATAATCTGTGCAAAGAAGATCAAAGAAGGAGAAACAAGCTGTCGCGAATTCGGGCTGGCTGCAGGCACGGCTAGCGAGGCCAGCATTCCTCTGGCACCCTGCCTTGACCCCGAGCCCGTCTGCGCTATGTGTGCTACCAGTACAAATCTACGGTGGAAAGAGGGTTTAGGGTTTAGGGTTTAGGGTTGAGAGAAGTTCTCTTGTCACTGTTGAGGTGTCAAACTTTCGTCCTGCCCAGCACACGCAGGGACAGGATGAGCATAGGGACGATTCGGAGTGACATATGGGGGGTTCCGACAATGTGCCAAATTTTTGGGGGTCCTGATAATAAGAGATCCTACTATTTAGGGTACTGTATTAGTGTCCCCCATTTTCAGAAACTCCCATATGCTGTATTGCACTGCTCCCATCTGGCCTGCCCGGGAAAGAAGACTGCCTTCAGCCGCTGCTTCTTCTCAACGGCCGTGCATACCAGGTCGAACCAGCGCTTGTACCAGGTACATCCCCAGGAGGCTGTTCGACCCATCTTCTCCCACTGCTCTTCAGCTCTCTTCGTAGCTTCTTCCTTCTCCTCATCGGTTGCGTCTTGACGGATGGGGACCGCGTTCATTGCAGCGGCTTTCTCCCAGTGCTTCTTGATTCTGTCGTCAGTGTAAGGTGCATTGAGGACTGAGAGGTAGCCGAAGGCCCTAAAGTCGCGCTCGCCATATATCCGTGCACAGTAGCACTTCCCCGGATTCTGGGGATCATCCGCGTGCTTCCCCAGGCCTCGGGATCAGAGCTTCGAACGACTTGGGAGATGCGAAACCTGGACGAAGAGCTTTCGACAGAACCCAAGAGGACACCCTGCATGAGAAGTGACGCACTGTGGTCAAGGATACCAAACCCAGGCTTTGCTCAAGACTTTGCAAGCAGACAAGCAGGAAGGATCAGGCAGGTATATAGGCAGGCATGTAGTGCATGCAGCGCACACAACGCGTGTAAACTGCATGTGTATCCAGGCATGTGGGTGGGTATTTGTGGATGGATGGATGGACGGAAGGACGGCTGGATGGATGAAGGGAGGGATGGATGGAGGGAGGGATGGACGGACGGACTCACGGACGGACAGGTGGATAGACAGATGGTTATCCCGTTTGTTCGTGCCGATGAACATGTATATGTTCACACGGTTACCCGGCTACGTACAAACGTGGTTGAAATACTCGTGCATTGGTGCATTTGCCTGCCTTCTGACTTTGCTGAAACTGTTACTTTGCAGGATACCCTAAACCCTAAACCCTGTACCTGAGCTTTCCGCTCCGTGTACTACTGTTGGTGATAAAAATCCTGCATGACGTTAAGGACCCTAAACTACAGGAATTATGGTATATTCCTTGTTACCGCGACCTCGGGCCCATCCAGGAAAGCAAGCGACATCCTTAAACCGGTTGAAGCTTTCTCACACTGCCAAATAGGTTTCCTACTCTTGTCAGCATCCACCACTTTGTAATCTCATGCCTCAACCGGTTGATGATATAAATCCTGCATCACCTACAATAAGGCATATACCATGATTCCCATAGTTTAGGGTCCTTAAGGTAATGCAGGATATATATCATCAGCCGTAGCAGGCCCCGATCTGAGGTCGGCGCCGTCCGCAGGGGAGCAGAGAAAGACACAGGCCACGGAGTCAAGGTGAAACTCCTGCCGACAAGGATTTTCGGCTGCAGTCCCAGGGCCCTAAACCCCAAACCCTAAACCCTAAACCCCTAAACCCTAAACCCCTAAATCCCTAAACCCCAAACCCCCAACCCTGACTCTAAACCCTAAACCCTAAACCCTGAACCCTAAACCCTAAACAGTTTCTCAAACAATTTCTTCCCCAAGCTGCTCAGAGAAGTGCGGAGTTTGCGGTTTTATCGGATTTGAGCTCAGGCGCTCGTATCTGGTGCTTCGGATTTCTGTCTGAAGGGTTAGAGTCTACTGTCTGGCTCTTAGTAGAGAATAGGGGAATGGAGTATGGAGACTATTAATTTTGGGGGATGATATAGGGGCTACTATAGGGATCCATTCCCCCATTCTCTTCTAAGCACCAGACAGTCTAAGGCACGTGTCGGAGTATCTGGCGGGGGGGGGGGGCGGCCATGAAGATCTTGTCGTGGCTTCGGTACACTTCTACGGGACTTGAAACTTCGTATCCACACAGCAAACCTGTAGCTGGGTCATTGTTACATGAACTCTGAAGCCTAAACCCTGACGTAGGCTTTTTCAAAGCGCCAGCAGCCCTCAAAGCACCACAAAGCCGGTGGATTTTGGGCCTGCAGTAACAGAGCATTTTTTTGTGTAGTGTAGTTTTCCTCGTTTTTTTCGGAACGGGATACTATTATGTTACCGTCCCCTCTATTAAGCAGAAGTTCAGGTGGGCTCTCTACGGTGAGGTCGGCTTCGGGTTCTCGCGCCAGGGGTCTAAAGGTCTAGGGGTTCACGGGTTTAGGGTTTTGGATGATTAAGGGGTTTAGGGCTTGGGGTTTAGTCCACGACTGAACAGATTGAATCCCTGCGCAGTCTTTACACCGACATTACCTTATGACCTTGCGTCTTTCTCCGGCACAGTAGCAGAACCGGTGAACCCAGAGACTCCAATATCCCTTGATTACGGAATATACCTTGAATCATATTCGGATCCTAGCATAATTCAAGGTATAGTCCATAATTAGGGCATATTGCGGTCCCCTAGACCCTCAAACCTATAGATCCCTTATAAGAATCCTTAAAGGAACCCTCTGCATTCCTTCATTAAGGGATATTGGAGTCTCTAGGTTCCCTAAACCCTAAACCCTAAACTAAACCCTATAGATCCTTTTAAGGAACCCTATAGATCCCTTTGAGGACCCTTTTAAGGGATATTGGAGTCTCTGGGAACCACCTTTGACGCCGTCTAAGACGGGAGCTCCTTCACCAGAGCTTCCCAGCCTCTGCATGGAAGGTGCTTTTTTGCAGGGGCCTTCATAATTCGAACAGGGTCTTTCTTTAAAGGGGTCTATAAGAATTACGACAAGGGGTACTATAAGGGTTTAGGGTATAGGGGCCTTAAGAAACAGAATAGAAAACTTCTTCGTGCATACTATACTTTTCTCATAGTAGGGGACCCCAAAAATAGTATTGGCAATTATTCCCCACAATCAGGAACCTTAGGAATAATGTGGGGAAAAAAAGGCCTCTGTAGTAGGGCTCCTCGCTTGGTTCAAGGACGTGGGATGCAGGGGTTTCAAGAGCTTCGGGCATGGCGCAGTGCGCAAGCGAAGGTCTTACACGACTAGGTTCCTGCGGGGCAAGTTTATAAAAAGAGTACCCTTTCTCCTACTATTCGGTAAAAATGGAGACCCAGAGTAAAAAGGACAAAAGGGTACTACTCGGGAACTTGCACGACGGCCGTCTCCGGAGTATCTTTCAATCGTCTTGCAATGTATTTTTCTGTGCGTAGATTTCGGAGACGGTTGAAACCTCATTATACCGCTGGACCCCAGAGCCTACCCAAGGACGACACGCCCCAAAGCCCCCAACCCCTCCGGCCTGCTGCATACTTCCCCGGGAAGGAGATCCAACAGCTTTTGGCGTCATCCCGGATGTGCCCATGGTAGCTGGGGTCGATTTCCTTCGACTCGGCAATGGCTGCTTCCTGGTCTCTTCAGCAGGTGCTGAAGTTAGGCAAGCTTGGGGACCCTGGCAGCAAACCCGAACTGAGGTTCAGACGGCCACTTCCGGGCAACCCAGAGACTCCAATATTCCTTAATTAGGGAATGTACCTTAAATCCATATTAAGGATCCTACTATAATTTAAGGTATATTCCTTAATTAAAGGATATTAGAGTCTCTGGGAAGCTGCGGGTTATCCGCGGCTGCTCTACGACTTTGCTGCGAATTGGGCGGCGATGTCTCTTTGCATGTGCTCCGGGCTGGGCTCAGGATGCACCAGGGGCTCTAGGCCATTAGACTCTTCAGTCTGCTGGGGACCCGTACGCCCAAGTCACAGCAGAATCACAGGCCAACGAACGGTGGAATGGGCAAAGCCGAATGAGTCACGGCATTCGCCCGGCAGCAGGATGGTTCCATGAACACGCAGCAATTGCACACGCCAGCAAAACGATTGAAAACTGACAACATTGATTCAAGCCCGAAACATGCTAGTGGGCCGGGCCTGGCCGACAAATCAGAATGATCGGTTCCGTCCGACCCAAAAACGGATAAGAGCAAGAAAGAGGAGCAAACCGTTCGAAAGAGACGAGACCATTTGCCAAGAGCGAGCATTTGCGAAAGCACACAGACATCACAGAACCAAATCATCGATTTATCACAGACAAAGCGCAGTAACAGCTGGTTCCGTCATGATTCCTGGAGGTTGCCCTGCCGGGAAATCTCAAAACTAACGAGGTCTTAAGGGACGGCCCTAGCCTGAACCCCAAAACCAAAAAAGCCAACAACACAAGGCGAAGAGAGCGCTACAATCCATGTCCACCTCTCAGACAAAACAAAACTTGCCGAAGCCACCAAACCCCCCCCCCCCCCCCCCCAAAAAAAAAAAAAAAACATCCTCTCAACCTCAATAAAACTTGTCGAAGCCTCAACCTCTAAAACCCTAGAGGTCCCACCCCCTTAAGCTCAAGAAAACTTGCTAAAACTTCAAAGCTTCTTCCTATGCCCCAAAACCCTATTTTAAAATATTCAGGCCCCTATACGTAGTACCCCCCCGTAACCTCAACAAACCCTAAACCCTAAACCCTAAACCCTAAACCCTAAACCCCAAAACTTGCTAAAACTTCGAGGCTTCTTCCTTGAGGCTCAAGAGCAGGGTCTCTCGCAACGTCGCCATGGGCGGCAGCTCCCGGCCTTCATAGGATCTAATGTAGGGGCCTTTATAAATAGACTAGGGTTCCCTTAAAGGCTTAAAGGGGTCTATAAGGGCTGCCATAAGGGGTACTATAAGGGTTCTGATGTAGGGGCCTTTATAAATAGACTAGGTTTAGGGTTTGGGGTTTAGGGGTTTAAGGGTTTAGGGTTTAGGGTTTAGGGGCCTTAATAAATAGAATAGGGTTCCCTTAAAGAGGTCTATAAGGATTACCATAAGGGGTACTATAAGGGTTTAGGGTCTAGAGGCCTTAATAATTAGAGTAGGGTTCCCTTAAAGGGGTCTACAAGGATTGCCATAAGGGGTACTATAAGGGTGTAGGGTCTAGAGACCTTAATAATAATTAGAGTAGGGTTTTGGGGCCCATTATACTGTACTTATAATGAGGAACCCGCAACATAGCGTTGGTGCCTTGATAGGGCCAGCGCCCAAGGCCTACAGCCCCAGACCCTCCATACCTTTCCACAAGGGTTTAGGGCTAGGGTTTGGCAGGCTTGACAGGTTTAGGGTTTAGGAACCAAAGACTCTTTAAAGCCCCCTTTGAACCCCCCGTAACCGCTCTAGGACCTTGCTTAAACATCTTTGAACTCCTCCTCCTCTCGGGCCCCGCTTAAACCCTCCAACCCCGGACCCAAAAACAGCGCCCCTAAATAGTGCCAAAGAAAAGCACGTAAGCAAAAGCACCGATAGTGATATCTCATAGAAACCCCCCTTAGGGTTTTAGGGTCTAGGGTTTAGATATAAGGAAGCCCAATAAGGTAGGGATATCTATAGTAGAAGCCAGAAAGTCGGAACATCAGTATCCTCATGCCCTTAAGGTAAAGTATAGGGGATCCCAGCACTATTCATCCTAAACCTCTGTTCCAACTTTCTGGGGTTCACTATATACCTTAAACTACCAAACCCTACTTTTTTTGTAGGTCCTTCTTATAAACCCTAATATGGAATTTAATAGGGACCCTACTTTTTTGTAGGTTTTGGTAGGTTAAGGTAGGGTCCCACTAACCCCCCCCCTTAGGGTTTTCGGTCTAGATATAAGGAACCCATTATAAGGTAGGGAGATCAATGCAAAACGCTCATGTCCCTTTGTCCCCTTTGGGGTTCACTATACTACCATTATGGAACTAGGTCCCAAAAACCATAGTACCGATGGCTTTTTTTTTGACCCAATACCATAATGGTAGTATATGAGGAGCCTTTGGGTTGTGTTTTTGTCCTTTTTTGGGTCCATATGCCTTAATTAAGGAATACTCCTTAAATTATGGTAGGATCCTTAATATGATTTAAGGTTGGGGCTGGGGTTGAGGGGTTAGGGGCTGGGGTTCAGGGGTAGGGGCTGGGGTTTAGGGGTTAGGGGCTGGGGTTTAGGGGTTAGGGGCTGGGGTTAGGGGCTGGGGTTTAGGGGTTAGGGGCGGGGTTTAGGGGTTAGGGGCTGGGTGGGGTTAGGGGTGGGGGTTAGGGGCTGGGGTTTAGGGGTTAGGGGATGGGGTTAGGCTGGGGTTTAGGGGTTGGGGCTGGGGTTGCTGGGGTTAGGGGTTAGGGGCTGGGGTTTAGGGGTTTAGGGGCGGGGTTTAGGGGTTAGGGGGGGGTTTAGGGGTTATGGGGTTTAGGGGTAGGGCTGGGGTTAGGGGTTAGGGGGGGGGTTTAGGGGTTAGGGGCTGGGGTTTAGGGGTTAGGGGCTGGGGTTTAGGGGTTAGGGGCTGGGGTTTAGGGGCTGGGGTTTAGGGGTTAGGGGCTGGGGTTTAGGGGTTAGGGGCTGGGGTTTAGGGGTTAGGGGCTGGGGTTTAGGGGTTAGGGGCTGGGGTTTAGGGGTTAGGGGCTGGGGTTTCGGGAGTTTAGGGTTGGGTTTAGGGTTGGGTTTAGGGTTTAGGGTTTAGGGGCTAGGGAATAGGGTTTAGGGTTTAGGGTTGTTTTTGTTGTTTTAACGCCTTGTTCCACCTGCCTATTGGTTGGTAGAATCCACGTCGTGGAAAGCGAAACTTACATCCCGGGGTTGGGTTTAGGATTGAGGGTTTAGGGTTTAGGGGTCAGGGAATAGGGTTTAGGGCTTAGGGCGAGGGGGGTGGGTGTGCACTATAAGAAGTCTACCAGTGTTCTGCTCTTCGGGGGTTGGGGGTAAAGTGGATGAAGCTGTAAGGGCGGAGGGGTTCGAGGTACGAGGGTCTATAGGGATTCGCATTTAGGAGCTTAGGAGTGTAGGGGTTGGGGCAGTTTAGGATTATGTTTTTAGCTTGACTGAGCTCTGGAGATGGGGAGAGGTGACCACCACCTCTACCATGAAATCCCCCTGCTTTAAAGGAACCCTTATAGATCCCTGGAAGGAACCCGTATAGATCCCTCAAAGGAACCCTTATAGATCCCTTAAAGGAACCCTTCTAGATCCCTTAAAGTAACCCGTACGTATAGATTCTTTATCGGATCGAGACTTGACTTTCCCCAAAAAGCGGGCCAGCATGAAGAGGGGATTAGGCGGTCGGCCTGCAAGCGATCCATCTGCTCGTTCCACGCCACGCTCATGAAGGTCGCATCGTGCGGGTTTTGGGTTTAGGGTATAGGGTTTTGGGTTTAGGCGGTTTAGGGCTTGGGGTTTAGGGTTCGGGCTCAGGGTTTCAAGAGGCTTGCTGCAATGCGCTCGCTTGCACCTAGTGCTTCACGTGCACAAGACTCCTGGCACATCTCAGCCAAGACGGTGCTCGAGTGGTTCTGCCGGCACTGATCTGCTTGCGGCCGGTGACCCGTAAACGCCTATCCCTGAATCCCGGAAACCCGAAACACCCAGAGACTCCAATATCCCTTAATTAAGGAATATACCTTAAATCATATAAGGGATCCTACCATAATTTAGGAATATTCCTTAATTATGGGATATTGGAGTCTCTGGGCACCTCAACCCTCAACCCTCCATCCCTCTAAACGTGACCCCAAGGGTGGCGGTATAGTATATTATTGCAACATGACATGATGCAATATGATATACTATAACGTATAATATGCTACCATATAATATACTATGATATAGTGTAGTATGCTACCACATAATATACTGTAACATAACAGAACAGAAAATGCAATACTCAGGCAAGGGCTCTACTAGGTTTCAAAACAGGGCCGGAGCGGGGACTGCCACCCTTCCGTCCTTCCATGATCCGGGTTTAGGGTTCTTTGGTTTAGAGTTTAGGGTTTAGATGTAGAGTTTAGGTAGGGTTTAGGGTTTTTTGTTTCAGGTTTGGGGTTTCGGGTGTTCAGCTTACGCGGGTTTTTTCACTGAATGCCGCGATTCGCTGCAGACCGAGCTCCACGGAGCAGTGCATTCTGCACAGCTCAAGTGATGTGGCCCCCTTAAGGACCCTAACCTATGGGAACTATGGTATATTCCTTATTATCTGTAATTTTAGGTCCTCAAACAAGGGATTTAGGGTTTAGAGTTTTAAGGCCAAGGCTCGCACCAAGAGAGCGACCGCTCCATGTTGCGGAGACTGCCACGGGGCAGTGTCTCCCTCGCTCTTTCTAGGGACTGGGGGAATGGATTTTATGAGAGTACCTTATGGTAGTCCCGGCTGGTCTTCCTGTTACGATAATGCCATTAAGACGAGACCTATAGTGGTCCCTCTCCCATTGCCCCCTTCCCTACTGAGAACCAGGAAGGTCTTAATTATGGTGCTACTGTTGATGATATAAATCCTGCATTATCCATAATAAGGAATATACCATAATTCCCATAGTTGAGGGGCCTTAAGGTAATGCAGGATATATATCATCAACCGTAGGAGCACACAGAAAACGAAAAGAGCGGACGCTCCACTTCGTGGAGACCCGCCCAGACGTGGCTCTGTACAAGATGCTCTGAGGATATGAACCAGGGTTTCGGGTTTAGGGATTCGGGTTTAGGGTTGGGTTTAGGGTTTAGGGTTTAGGGTTTTCTAGTACAGTGGCCTTCATCCTTAGAATAGGGCTTTGGGGGACATTCTGGTACAGTTATGATAAGGAAGCATGATGATGACTCGACGTAAAAACATGGTGCTTGCACACATAGGCCGCGGCCCGTGGGTGCAGCATCATCACGAGCCTGCGCAGAAAAGAACGGGAGACTTTCCGGCATCTGTAGCGAAAACCATCTGCAGTTTCAAAAACGACAAACTCGTCAGTCCACTCCCTCAAGCAACCAATCAGTCAATCAGTCACTCAGCCACTCAAAGGACGAAAAACTCGCTCGACTCGCTCATGTACTCACTCACTCAAAAACACTAGTCTTTACGTGATTCCAATAACGAAGACACGCGCTCGCCAGCTTCCTCGTTCTTCAGGGCTCGGGTGCTCCGGTTGATGATATAAATCCTGCATGACCCACAATAAGAAATATACGTTAAGTCCCATAGTGTA